TGCATCATTCTCAAGTTACTGCTGCCAGCATGTTTCCTGTAGCATTATAAAAGGTACTATATTAACTGAAGCATTCCTAGGTTACTAACACTGTTGTACAAAATATAAATAATTTTTTTTATTTAACAATTTTTAAACAATTTTTCTGTAATCCAAGGAATGGCTAAGAGTTAAGGAAGCCTTCCACATGTTTCAAATCCCATGCATTCTGCTGTATGAGTTTTACTACCACGACACGCCATAGATGATTTGGAGACAGAATTGCTTCAGTACAAATCAAACCAAAGAGGATAATCCAAGGATCACAGCAATAGTTTTGACAGCAAAAATATTTACAAAAAAGCTGTACTCTGCAGTAGATGCAAGCAACAGACAGAACAAATGTGAGGGCAAAATACTGAATCCATTGAAATTTCATTTTGAGTTCTAACATCACTTACATTATAATTACTTTATGCTAGCGAGCTATATGGTCACTAAAACATATGCACTGCAATTAATAGAGATAAAACTGATGATTTCAGAGAAATAATCAACAACAAAAGGACAACTGAAGAGTTTTAACTCTTTACAAAAAAGCAGCCACAAAGAAAAGTCTAGTAGCTTTCACCATTCTGAAGGTTTACGTTCTCTCTGACACACAAGTACACACTCAAGTTGCCTCCTTTAATTTTGTTTCTGCCACTCCACACATCACCATTTTCTTCAGCAGAACTATGCCTTGCACAATAACCTTACAATAAAACAAGAAGAAATGAAGAGCAGCTGCTTCCCTGCAAAACTCACAGAAATGCTTTTATCTGGGAAATGCAGAGGACAAGAATGAATGTAATCACGTTTTACACTGCAGTGCCAAAGTTATTACCTTAGTAACCTTGTAGGCGCATATTATAAAAATCATCCATTTATGTTATAGGGAATTACTTAGCACTGGGAACACAATACCCGAAATGAATTTCAAGTGGCAAGAGCATCATTAATCATACTTCCTCAACATTAATGCCGTGGAACAAAGCCTTCTGCTTCACTGCTTGAAAGCACAGGTGTTTTAGGAAGAAACCGTTTAACAGATGGTGCTATGCATGCCATACCTGAATAGAGGTTCTTGGAATATACAGCATATACAAACCAAAAGACTACGATGGACAAACGTTTTGTTTTAAAAGACAAATCATCACAAATATTAGTAAAAATGAAAGCAACGCCATCAATATTTCTAACAGTTTCAAACATTAACCCCAAGAAGAGAGAGGAATAAACAAAAACCACATCAAAATTAGAAAAAGCCAGTGAAGTCAATGTGCTCAACCCCCAAAATCTAGAAAACGGACTTGCAGACATCCAAACAAATTAACAAGGTCATACTGCAACATATAACTGTGCTCTTAAGTTAAAGTTAAGCAAGCTAAAAAGAAACACATGCTATTAAAATTATATTGTAACACATGCCAGTAAAATTGTACATAAAACTGCACATCCTGTTAAAATGGTATTTATCAGGACTAGAATCTCAATTTCTTAGAGTATCGGAGTCTATTTTTTTATTTAATTTCATTTGCAGAAAGTTTAATCTTACATCACATTCTCACAAAATATTTTCACAAAAGCAACTTACTGCAGTGGATTTATAATACAAAGACCAACCAAGCTGTAACTTCAACTGATAACCAGAGGGTGGGGGAATCATGGCTGTTTAGATCTGACAGCCCTTCTGCAAGACTGCTGTCAGGCTCTGATTGTAATGTACAGCCATTGCCAACAAAAATAATTGCAGATCTTTGCAAAGTACTCTTTAAACTGACAATGAAAGAACTCGTGTAAAATGGGACTGTTTACGTTCAGAAGCGTTTGTTGATCTGCAAATAAGTTATGTTTAACAAGCACTAAAACCTAAAACATTCTTTCAAGAGTAACACTGTAACTGTAAGATATTAAGATAAAAAAAGACACACACAAACCTAGAATCCATAAGATGGTTTGAATTGGAAGAGATTTTCAAGATCACTTAGTTCCTAGGTTCTGCCACGGACAGGGACACCTCCCTCTAGACCAGGTTGCTCAAAGCCCCATCCAGCCTGCCCTTAAAGCCCTCCAGGGAGGAGGCATCCACAACCTCTCTGGGCAGCCTGTGCCAGTGTCTCACCACCATCATAGTGAAGAATTTCTTCCTTATAATTAATGCACAGCTACCCTCTTCTGGTTTAAAGCCTCGCCTCACTGAGGAGCACGAAGCCCCACTGCCAGCACCTTGCTAAGCACACATAATAGACAGGTTTAGTCATGACTACTACTGTTATTTTAATAACCAAATATAGCATTTCATGTGCTCAACCTAAAAACATTATCTATAAAAAGGATTTTCTGTTCAACCACACAGGAAGACAGTCTATATCTGACACTAAGTACTAAGTAGTACTACAAGAAGAGCAGTTCAAAAAGCCTTAAATGCATTTTCAAAGATAATGTCACTTCTGGGGATGAGACATGGCATGGCAGCTCTCAATAAGTGCTGCAACACCTCCACCACGTGGGAGATACCAGCCATCCCCACAGCCAGTTCAGCCCACTACAGGAGGCTGAAACTGCAGAGGCCAAAGGTTGCTCAGTGTAAACTGTAGTCCAAACAAGTTACAAAACTGCCAAAGCAGCATTAAGCCAAACCAATGACTCAAAAGCCTCTTCTTTTACCTTTTGTGCCACTTCTGTACTTTTTTTTTTTTTTTTTTTTAAACCACCTTTCATTGTGCAGTATTGATATTTAACACATCTGAGATACTGGTCTGACATTCCGAGCATCAGCCCTAACCCACACCTTCACTGAAGAATCTCCTGCTTTCAAGAAATCAGAGGTTAAAGCAATTATCCACAAAAAAGGACACTTAATGCTATTAATAATTTCAAAACCCAAGTTCTCTACATCACTGTAACTGAAATTAACATCAAATGCAACATAACATTACTGCAGAAAAGTGCGTTTGCTTAAACTCAGTAAAACTCTCATGAATAAAATACAATCCAATTTGAATTAATAAAAGTTTGCTTTATGTTATAAAAAAAAAAAATGTAGAGTTAATCTAAAACATACAACAGAAAATATTTATGCTTTCTACCGTTAGTCATTATTAGACACAAAATTATTTACCAATGAATGGGTGAGAGAAAACAGAAAGAAGGTCCTTACATTATTGATTTTGCACAAATAATGAACTTGAGTTGCATGTACAACTGCCAAGGAGGCTCTCAGGAGTATTAACTCCCCCTGTGACAGAGCTTTGAAGAACAGATGCATAACTGAAACACTAAACGTGTTTTTAAAAAGGATGAAACACACATGACTGCTTCACAGGGCTGACAAGTAAGCAAGTGAAGCATAAATGTGACCAAAATTAATTTGTGCCAGTGACAAAGGCATAGAATCACAGAATGGCCTGGGTTGAAAAGGACCACAACAATTATCTTGTTTCAACCCCCTGCTACCTGCAGGGTCATCAACCACCAGACCAGGCTGCCCAGAGCCACATCCAGCCTGGCCTTGAATGCCTCCAGGGATGGGGCATCCACAACCTCCTTGGGCAACCTGTTCCAGTGCGTCACCACCTCTGTGTGAAAACCTTCCTCCTAATATCTAACCTAAGCCTCCCCTGCCTCAGTTTAAAACCATTCTCCCTTGTCCTATCACTATCCACCTTTGTAAACAGCCGTTCTCCCTCTTGTTTATACATTCCCTTCAACATAAAGCCTTTTTGAAAGTATGTATTATGAGGTATTCACCATTTTCTCAAATGCCAGTATCAACAGCATTCACTCTTTTATTTCATTCACATTTTATTACTCTCCCTTTAGAAACCTGGCTAGATCCACTCCATAACACATGTAGTCAGTGGGGTAAGCCAGCAATGTAGCGGGCAATGTGATGAGGCAAGGCCAACACTCCAAACTCTCAATGTTTTGGCGACCTAAGAACAGTACCTTTAGCACCAGTATGCCTCAGAGTATAACAGCTTCAGAGCTCCCTAAGAAGAGAGGGGTATTAAATAACTGCTGTATATGCTAAATCCTTTCAAAAACGTGTGCATGCAATTTCTTGGGATAGCACCAAAGAACCTCCCAGAAGCCCAACACACAGCACACATAATCAATAACATCTCAAAGAGCAAAGAGCTCTTCTTTATCACTGAAGAACTGAACTACTAAAGACAACAATAAAGAAAGATTCCTCATACCTACATGTCTGAAAGACCATCTTTTGACTATATTCAGAGTGCTTTGTCATTTAGAAGCTTTGAACAGCCAGTCCGAAAGCCAAGACTGTTTGCCAGAGGCAAACTGACTCACAGATTAAATACTACTTAGAGAAGACAAGCCGATCTTTAGAAATATCATTTGAATCTAATTTGCATTATCACAATATTATGGTCTTTAATCATCAAATCCTAATAAAACTAAGATTTTGCAGTGATGACTGTCTTGTAAACCCTATGAAGATTTGAATATAATAAATCTAGCAATTCTTACACTGATCACCGCATTATTACCAATTTACATACAGTGATAACCATAGGCATCCCCTGATACTTCAGCATTCATACAATGAAGACCTATTTTTGCTTGACAACCTCCAACTTTGTATTGCTTCTCTTTACTTTAGTTCTCACTGACACAAGAAGAGGGGTGCAGGGAGAACTTCTTTAAAAAAAGTTGCAAAACCTCACTTAAAACACAGACATAAAGACAGTCACGTTACTCTTCATGTAGGAAAGAGCTTTTAAATCCTCTAGCAGAAAATTATTTACAGTGAACACTGTATGTATCATAAATGTCAACTAAAATTAAGAAACACTCAGCTTACTAATGAAGGGTCTTTTTGTTTGCTTGCTTTTAGCTATGTGAGCACTTTTCATAGGTAAAACCAAATTAATAAATTTAAAAATCAAAATAGCTTTTGCTCCAGAGTGCCATTAAATGCAACAAAATTAATAAAATGAAGCTTGAACCCTTACCGCCAGTGCTTTAGATAAGTTTTTTCTATAGTTATTCAAAACAATAGCATCGATGTCCTTCAGTGGCACAAATGCAAATCCATCTTTAATAAACACTCTTCTTGCTCTAAACAGATCAACAGCATCTGACAGTCCAACCTGGGAAAGGGGAAAAAAAATAAAAATAAACCATGAAACAGCAAAAAAGCACAGTAACAATTACTACAACCCTAAGTTTCAAAACAGACCAGTGAGGCTTTAAGTTATTCTGTGTTCTTTAATAAAGCTACAGGCAAAACACAAAGATTCCGAAAGCACATGACAACTTCATTTATAAGAAGTCATTTACTTACAGTATCTAATTTCAAGGACATGTAAGCAAGCTAGGCAAAATGAGATACTTCAGAATTTCTAACTATAACAACCTAGCCTGATCACATAGCTTTGAACACTAACTGATTTGATACTTAAAACTAAGCTTCTGTAAACCTTCAATTTCAGAAATCTTAAAATTTTTCATTCTTGCAAGCTACATATAAGAGGCCTTGGAAGCAAAGATGGTTGAAATCCATCCATCAGCAGGTTACACTGCACACGTCTTACTTTTTGGTAGCAAGCAAGAAGAGAAGAATTTCACACTAAGACAGTTAAACTAAATCTAGTTTTAGATATTTGAGAAAGTCCCCATCCTCACAGTCTGTCAGCCAGTTAAGCCAAATGATTTGTCTGGGAGATGTTTAAACTGAAGATCTTTTTCATGGCAAGACAAGGGACAACAGAAGCCATTAATGACAGGTGAAGCTCCCTCCATATTCCGAGTCCCTCCTTCTACCCTCCTACTTACATAATAAAGAGGAACTCTCAGTGTCAGTATAATAGTAGTAAAACCTTAGAATACTTTTGAAAGAAAAAGAATAAAATGCTGCAAATTTGCATTAATTCCAACTTACCTTATAGAACATTTGCTCTTTTACTTTAGTCATACTGAGGCCAGGAGTTGACATGAACAGCTCATTTGCCAATTCATTTTTCAGGTCTTCACTAATCTAAAATAAATTAGATTTATTTTATAAAGAAATTTATAAAAATAAAAGCTTGTTTAAAAACCTCCAAAATACTTCAGAAATACATTTTTTTTTAAAATAAGCTAGATGACAACTTGGTCTGTAAATACGCCAGTGCAATGCTATAAGATGAAAAGTAGAATCATAGAACCACAGAATCACTCAGGTTGGAAATGATCTTAAAGATCATCGAGTCCAACCACAACCTAACCATACTACTCCAAATCCAACAACCCTCAGCTAAATCATGTCCCTGAGCACCACATCCAAACGGTTTTTAAACACATCCTGGGATGGTGACCCAACCACCTCCCTGGGGAGCCTATTCCAGTGCTGAACAACCCTTTCTGTAAAGAGTTACCCCTTACAGAAAACTTACCCTGGCACAACTTGAGGCCATATCCCCTTGTCCTGTCACCTGTCACCAGTGAGAAGAGACCAGCCCCACTCTCAGCCTGGAGAAGGCTCCAAGAAGACCTTATAGCAGCCTTCCAATACCTGAAGGGGGCCTACAGAACAGCTAGCAATGGACTTTTTGTAAGGGCAGGTAGCGACAGGACAAGAGGAAATAGCTTTAAACTGGAAGAGAGTAGATTTAGACTAGATGTTAGAAAGAAATTCTTTTCTGCGAGGGTGATGAGACACTGGAACAGGTTGCCCAGTGAGGCTGTGGATGCCCCCTCCCTGGAGGCATTCAAGGCCAGTCTGGATGGGGCTTGGAGCAACCTGGTCTAGAGGGAGGTCTCCCTATCTACAGCAAGGGGTGCACCTAGATAATCTTAAAGGTCCCTTCCAACCCAATCCATTGTACGATTCTGCGATTCTATCCACGTTAACTTAGAAACATCACACAGACATTAGGGTCATGCATGACTGAAGAATTAAAGGAAAATTCTTATGAGAAATATGGCAATAAGTTCTCTTCCATTTATAAATAAAAAAAGCCAAATGAATTATACAGAAACTCATTAACAAATGTTAAATTTTAAGCATTTATCTAGATTCACTCATTGGATTAGCAGGATAAGAGTATTTCTGTGTTTGCAGCGGATTTTATGATGTTTATAGCCAAAACAGCAACTAGTAAATGAAATTGCAGTACAATTATTTACTGTAAAAACCATCCTATCAGCTTTCACGATGCTATGCTAAAAAGGAACAAAATACACATTACAAAGTTAGTGTACTCACTGCTATGTGAAGAATAAACTCATCATGGAAACACTTAGACTCTACTACAAAATAAACTTAACGCGTTGATTGCCATTTATTTTCTTCTTGAACAACATATGGATATCATTAGGGGGAAATAATTACTTATATAAGTCCACCCACTATTTCCCAGCTTTCTCTTTTTTTATGGCCCCCCAAAAAATAATGAAAATATTTCAAAAGAGAGGAAAAAGAGAGGACACTTGATGAGACCATCCTCCTGGTCCATAGTAAGTTTCTTCCACAAAAATCTCTAATTATCAATTGCTAAGGACTGAGGATCCACAAGGATGATGTAAGGACTTGCTATTCTTCCATCATTTTCAAGTTATTAGATAAATGGTAGTTCAGTGTCACCTGGTCAACCACAGAATGCTAGAGCATGCTAACACAGTGCCCCAACCATTCCACCACTTCTAAAATCAGCTGAAGACCATCATGTTGAAGACACCTATTCTCCACTCCGTTTCTGGTAGAGCTGCCATTTCACATCACTTTTAGAAATCCAAGGTTACAGCAGAACATGAAGCAGTTCAGAATACTCTGAAACCGTCTCACTTTTTTCAGCTTGATCAAGTCTAAGAATGTTTTTACTCATTAGCTCATTCTTACAGCAGCCGTTCTGCAACTTTTACTTCCAAGTATACATGACCTTTTCAAAGCAGAAAAAGAACATATAATCAAAGCTGCAAGGGTGTGTGTAGCATCCATTACTGAAGAAGTCAATCGTAGGTAAGATCTTCACAGTCTGCTTTAATTCAAATGATGAATTGTACAAAGCTATTTAGTAAGAATCATAGTCCTCTACCCCACTAAAAGGGGCACGAGTAGCTTAAATGTACAGTTCACATTTTAGTTTAATTAGCTTTTATTGGTTAAAATTGACTTGTGGAATTATCTTATAATGGCCCATTTGGATTTCTGCAGATGATCAGCATCTGTTGCTAATCAAACTGAGATGATTACTAAATTAAAACTTTTAATCAGCATTTTGCATAATTCACATAAACTGTTGTTCATTATGTTTACGAAGGTGAAAAGGGACATCCCCAGTAGCTGTATGTTATTCAATCACATTCATTCCTTATTTAATTCCACAACTTTACATTACAACACCATATGTTCAAATAAATACACAACTAGAATTACTGCAGCAAAAAAGTTTATTTTTAATCTTGGAGAAAACTAAGTCATGCTTATAGTTCAAGGGTCCATTAAAGATGGGTAAATAAAGATCTCAGGCCATCCGTCCTCTCAGCACATGAAACACTTGCACATTCTCCCCTCCTTCCTTTCAACTATTACACCTCTCAGATTTATGAGATATGCCTGTATTTTACTATGCATCAAGCTTTATTAAAAATTGCTGTAAGAAAACACTGCAATCAGCTCTAAGTCTATTAAAATTTGCATTAAAATGTTTAAAGTTTACTCCATCTCCACATTCCTTACAATGCTAACTCATTAAAAAAACAACCTCACATTGCTTTGAAGTCAGCCCAAACCCTTTAAGATCAGCTAAGAGCAAGGCTTAAAGTCAGTCAATAAAACTGCTTTGGAAATACCATTGCTTCAACACTCCTTTGCAAACAGACCTGC